GCAAGATTGTTCACAAAGCAGGGACTATTTCAGAATTGAGGGCGGACTTCAATAATGTATATCTAAATATTAGGTCACAGTGTCTGATAGACGACCAGATCAATAGTGACATCACAGTAGACAGAGAAACGGTTTACAACAATATGACTGAAGCGATGTTTACATTCAAAAAGAAATTATTCAATCCAAATCACAAGTCTTATTATAGTCCTACCGATATACAAGTTTTAAATAATTATAGAACCATCGTCCCACAAGGCGAGTTATTCAAGGGCTTGGATAAATTGGATGTTCCAAAACAGGAGATCGACATGAACAAAGCGTTTACAGATGCATTTAATACGATTACCAGAATGGAGTTTTTAATCAGTTTGATAATTGGAAAGCTTATAATAGTAAATGTAAGATCAAGGATGTAAATATATATTTGGTAAAAGCAGAACTGACACATCGCAATCTGTTTTTTAATAATGATACTAATATAGTTTATGGTATGTTTCTTAAGCATTTTATGCCACTTGTTGCATCTGGCGAGTTGTCCATTACTCACTACAAACAGCCACATTTCATCCACAAGGTAGATAATAAAATGTTGGTTGAGGAACTCTGGGGAAAGCGAATAAGCGAAAATATTGAAGAAGACAAGGCAATTAAAAAAATAATAGCCAACTCGATTTTTGGCTTGTTGGAAAAAAGTAAGAACAGTAGTCAGAGATCATTCGTTTTTAATGATCTCAATGAGGCGATCAGCCTTCAAGCAGATGCAGGGGGGAAGTTAAACATGATGAGCAGGAATACTGCCAAGTGGGTTGAGGAATATGATGATAATGGCATGTGGTGCCGTGATAGAGAAGTATCTGAACAAAACGACAATTTATATTATATTCTGAATGTGGTTGATAGGTGCGAGTTGTCCAATGGGTTTCGTTTTATTAAAGAAATGCTATTGCAGTATCATAATTTCAAAATGCAATGCGCATATCAAAAATTGACAGAGAACAATGTTAAGGTATTGAGTGTCAAATGCGACGCTTTTGTCGTGGACTGTTCGGGTTTTAATAAGTTTGGTTTGAGAAAGACTCAGCAGTTGCTAGATTTTCACGATGGGATCGGTGGGTGGAAATTAGCCAAGACTCACGATGAGATCCATCATACAGGAAAGCAGTTGTATGAACAGAAGAAGTGTGAATATGTTGATATCCCGATTGTCAAAAGTAAGAGAGTTAACATCATTAATGAGTATGATGAAAATGAATTGGTTGAACTTGTTGAGAAATATAGGTGCTTGATGATTAAGGCTAAATTCGCAGGAGCGGGGAAGTCCACCATCTGCAAGAACATGGAGAGACTCAAGGGTTATAAAGTGTTGTTCGTGGTTCCTACCAATAATCTGGGTTTGGAGTGCGAAGTGGAAAGCGTCACTGTAAATAAATTCTTCAGTATAGCAGTCAATGACGAGAAGCTAGATAAATACGATCATTCGATGTTTGATGTCATTGTGTTTGATGAGATTTGTTTTAATAATACCTTTGTATTGGCAAAAACTAAGGGCTTTGTAGAGCAACATAGGGCTAATAAAATCATATTAGCTACTGGTGACGCCAAGCAATTGAGCCCTATAAAAGCACTGACTAACACTAAGAAACACGAGATTTATATGAATGAATGTATTGATAGCATTTTTCCTCATCATTTGTTTTTGGAAGAGTGCAAGCGATTGAAGACTCAGGAGGACAAGGATAAACTTAAAAGCATTTATGCCGACATCTTTGAGCATGAATTGTCTCTACATGATGTCATCAATAAGTATTTTAAATATACTGATGACATCACAGGAACAGAAAGCAATGTCGCATATTTAAATAACACTTGTAGAGAGGTTTCAAGGCAGATCAGGAAACGACAGGGCAAACAAAATGAGTTTGAAGTCGGCGAGATCATGATATGCAGAGAGTATAGGAAGACAAAAACCTATAAGTTAAATGTGAATTTTAGGTATGAGATAATTAATATTTCCGATCCTTGGATTACCATTGCTAATATCAAAACACGAGAAGAGATTACATTACATATTGGTATCTTGAGAAGTCATTTTATCTTTGCCTTCTGTTATACTTGTCATTCTGTTCAGGGGTGTTCCATTGATGACGATGTCACCATTTTTGATTGGAACCATCATCTGATAACTCGCGAGTGGCTTTGGACGGGAATCACTCGGGCAAGGGATTTAAACAGAGTAAAATTTTACAAATACAGTAGTGATTTAAATGAAGAGTTTAACGCAAAATGCATTATGAATTATTTTGATAGAAAGGTGTTAGCATACAAGGAACAGGATAGGAAAAACAAATTTGAGATCCCAAAAGACAATTATGTGGATGCCGAATGGTTGAAGGACAATGTCAACGGAAAGTGTGCAAATTGTGGCTGTGGTTTCGTGTTGTCAATGGATTCTGGTAATATAAATTCTAATCTGACTTGTCAAAGGTTATGTAATGATCTTCCCCATACAAAGGATAATGTCATTGCCTTCTGTGCTTCTTGTAATAGATGCTTCAGTGATAAAATAACATATTGATATTTATTTTATAGTGTTATATATATGAGTGAAAAAGACAAGATAATCAGTGAGGTCTACTACGATCAGGCTGGGTTTGGTAGCATCGCCACCACTTACAAAGATGCAAAAAAGAAAGATGCATCCATAACAATGCAAGATGTCAAGGAGTGGTTTCAAGAGAACGTGGAACGGAAAAAACAACTGTCTGGATACAATTCGTTTATTGCCCCTGATATCAACTTTGAATATCAATTGGATCTGTTTTTTATATCAAAAAATGATTTAGATAATCAAAAATATAGGATAGGCTTATTGCTTATTGATGTATTTTCCCGCAAAGCCGTGGTGGTGCCTATTGCATCCAAGCAACCTGCCGACATCACGGCTGGGATCATGGAGGCATTAAACAAAATGGGAGGGAAACCCAAATTAATTTATTCGGATGACGAGGGGAGTCTCAATACCCAAGATCTTGTTGATTTTTTCAAGGACGAAGGGATCCAAAACTATAAAACACGAGGGCACCCCCATTTCGCCGAGCGTTTCATTCGCACGTTCAAGGACATGCTTTTCAAGAGGGTTGATGCAGACGAGAAAAAGGGAAAGGTTAATATACAATGGGTTGATTATATCCCCGAGATCATGCTGACATACAACAGTAAAATGGTTCATTCTGCCCACGATATGACTCCAAACGATGCCCACAAAAAGGGAAACCATCTTGAGGTCAAGATGAAGCTTGAGATGAACAGAATCAAAACCCGTAAATATCCCCCTGTTAGGGTTGGTGATGAGGTCAAAATATACCGCAAAAAAGGGATTTCCGAGAAAGAAAGAACGAGCTCATGGAGCAGTGTCAAATACAAGGTTTCAAGGGTTGAAAAAAAACTTGGTCAAGATTATTATTCTGTTGAAGGGATGAACCGCCCCTACTTGAGGTCAGAGATTCTGAAGGTTTGAAAAAATAATATCTAAACGGTTCTAATAGCTGATGAATCTATTAGAACTGTTTAGTGGGACAGGGTCGGTCGGTCGCATCGCCCGTGATCTGGGGTTCAATGTCATTTCACTGGATTTGAAGGGTGCTGACATAAACCAAGATATTTTACATTGGGATTACAAACAGTTTGATCAGAAACACTTTGATGTTATTTGGAGTTCGCCCCCGCGCACTGAATACAGTAGAGCCAAGACAACAGGGAACCGCAAAGTAGACTATGCAAATTCCATTGTTTTGAAGACCCTTGAGATCATTGAGTATTTTAAGCCCCGTTATTGGTTTATTGGAAAGGGCAATGACATTGAGATGTAGATATGCCTGACCCAGCATCACCCTAGCGCAAGGGGTATCTTGGAAAAATCAACCTTGATTTTTCAGGAAAATCAACCCTGATTCTCAGAAACTAGCTCTCAATTCAGTGGAGATGAGGGTTCCCTAAATCAACACTGATTTTTTCATGGTTTCCCTATCATGCTGAGCGCTCAAGGTGGTTCTGACATTGCATGAACAAGTCAAACCCACACACACGTCGTGCGTGGAAGCATCGGCTGAGAGATGAAAAAGCACGGAAGACTTCTATGACGAGGATGAGGAATTTAGCGATAATGAAAGCACGGCTAGCTATTATTGAGATGAATGTTTCAGTTCTTGATTATACTTGGTTACAACATATAAGATCTTATATGTTGTAATTTTAGTTTAATTTTCCCGTATAAGCCGTGGGGGTGCTTTCCTACATAGGCCTTTCCCATCCGCATTTTGCCATCCATATTTTACTGGGATTATTTTCAAGATTTGGGTTAACGGTTTTAATTCTCCCTTTTCCATTGGTTAACCACTTTTCGGGGCGAACATAGGGTTCTTTTTTAGACTGTTCGTATTTGTTGGAAATGGGAAAGGGTCTCAGGTTGGATCAAGGGAGAAATTATTGAGATCTTGGGGTTGCGATCTTGGGAATGGAAAAATGTTGGTATGTAGCTTGGATTTTTTTGGTGGGATTTGTTGAGGTGGTATGTAGTTATGATTGTTGTTATTGAATGAGTGTAAGGGTGATGTTGAGATGGGGTAAGAAATGAAGAGGGGTGTGTGAATATGTGTTTTTTGGTGTTGGATTGGTTGGGTGATTGAATTTGAATGTTGAAAATAGGTTGTTTTAGTGGGTGTATTTGAATTGTGCCCAAAAGTGTGGGGGGGACCCTATGACCGGATGGCAAAATGCGGACGGGAGAGGCCACCACTAACTCTTTTGGGGGTGGTGAAACTATAACCCCACAAGGAAAGCCCTCTTGTTGGGGTGCCCCAAAAGGAAAGCCCGACCTTTTCTTGGGTGATGTGTTTTTGACTCCAAAAGGACTTCGCCAACCCCGCGGAAATTTTGGGCGAGGCGTCGGCTTCCACAGGAAAATTCGCCCCCGTCTCGCCTCGCGCCGCGGACGGCTCAGCGAACCCGGCCGAAGCGGATTCGAGCCGAGAACGTCCAAAACCATGGCGGCAGTTCAGGCGCGAGACGAAAAAAAAATCCCACGGGGCCAAGAAATGCCGTGGGGCACAAGGGGTGGGGTGTTAAAAAGGCTGCAGGGAGCGGATTCTTTTTGTTTTTTTGGGTCGAGTTTTGGCGGATTTGGGGAGGTTTGTCGGCTCTTCAAATCGGTTTTTCTCGTTTCGGTTTTTGGTGGCAGTCCATGTGTATGTTTTTGGTTGGGTCCAAGACGTGAGCATCCTTTCTTGGCCTGCTTCCAAGGATGGAAGCGGACAAGGGTCCCTAGAGTCTGGTAGTCTTGTCCACTTTGGCCGGAAGGAGGGTGTCCTCTTTGTTTCAAGGAGTTCCCCAACATGAAGCCCAGAGTCTGGAGTCAAGAGGTGCCCATTTCCGTAAGTCTTTCATTTGTTTCCCTGGAGGGAGGGTCCCTATATTTCCTTTTTGGGGTGGTTTTAAACATCACCTTTTTGGGCCATGAAAGGCGAGTGTTTTTCTTGGTGGGGGTGATGTTTTACAGGGAAATATAGAGAGCCCTGTTGCGTCCGTTCGTTGATCTTGACCCAGTTTCAGATCCCTGAAACTTGGTGCAGCCTCTGGCCAACCAGAAAAACCGGGATTGCAGGCCATTCCAGAGAAGCACGTTCCGGCCGTGGAGGTGTCTTGGAAGACCGGAATCGCCAGAGGATGGATTTGAAGACGGACGGTTTCAGCTGGGAATTTCAAGGTGCAACATAGTGTCCACCTCATAGTTAGAACACCCCCACCCCCCCCAAAATCGTGGGAGGGGTTTCTGGACACTTTTCCTGCAGATTCCAGGAGATTCCTCACATGGCTGTATTCAATGATTTTCTTGACTACAGCGGTTTAAGGGAAGGTTCAAATATTTGAGGTTTTGATTTTGGCTGATCTGCGGGGGTTTCTGAATATGGGCGTCTTTTCTTCGGATCCCTGAATCGCGGCTTTATGGTTTGCTGCGTTATCGTTGCCACTTGGTTGGATGTTTTTCAAGGGTCTTGATACCACCAGGGCTTATGTCCCAATGGGTGTTTTAAGAAACGGCAGAAACACTGCAAACTTTGCCACACCTGGAGTCGGTTTGCTGAACGAGAGCTCTGACCGTTTCGAGCCCGCGCTGCACGTATCCGTTTTCCCGGGGCCTGTCGCAAAACAAATGAACAAAGACAAGGTGACCCTGCTGTGGATGGACAAAATCCATTTCGCACCACCCAAGCGATCCTGAAATGATTCAACAAGCACTGGGTTGAACAGTGGTGCAGGATTTCGTGCATCAGTACCTTGCCTCAACCAAGCTGCTCAACCAGTTTTGGGTTTACTCTAAGTTGAGCCCCTGAGGGCCAAGAGGAGTCCCCTTGAAATCTCATTGGTTCCGTGTCATGGGTGTTTTCTGGGCTGATTAAGTAGGGGAGTAAGAGGTAACTCTGCAGATCTCGCCCGAGCCTTAAGCCTTTCCGACTCAACTGGTAACCTCTGCCGGATGTGTTGTGGTCTTTCGGGTCGGACTGACCATGAACATGGGTATGGGTCAAAGTTAAGCCACCATTGGACCGCAGGTTTTAATCCATGTTTCCACTTTCCGGGGTTTCATTTTGGCTACCTATTCTTGACCCACAGCCACAATGTCTACCTTACAACACAATGCCATAATGCCTGTGGGCCATGCTTTTCAAGGCCAGTAGGGACCCCGCGTTGGCGTCACACAGGGAATCCCCTCAGTCCGGAGCCCATAGAATTCTTTGATTTTTCCCTCGAAGCTGAGTGGTCAACCCAATGATCAGCAACCCAAGTGGTCAAGAACATGCTGAACATGGCTGCAAAACATCATTGGAACCTTCATGGTCTGGATGTAGGGTTTTGGACCTAAGGCCTTTGTTATAGTCCCAAGATTCTCGTTTGGAAACTGGTCAGATGACGCTTCAGAAAAACCCTCCATTCTTTGGGAACCCCTTTGTTGACATATGGATATGGGCATGGGGTCAAAAATACTTACCACCAGGGACCGCAGTTTTTAGTGCATGCTTCCTTCCATTTACCGCTGCTCCATTTTGGGTGCCGATTTTTGACCCACAGCCGCATATCAGGTAATCCTTGATTGCTGGTTTGGATTGTGAGGGGTTTGGCGCCTTGTGCTGGGTAAATGGTACCCTCAAAAAAGACAACCAGGGTGTGATTTTTTGGCCCACAGTCACATGTCAGGTAGATTGCAAGGGGTTCCACGACTTTGTTCTGGGTAAATGGCACCCTCAAAAGAAAGCCAACCCTTGCCCAAATGGAGGCTGAGACTCTGAGGCGGCCTCCACCGACGACAGCGACAGCGATTTGCCGGAGCTCTATGACGCCACCAGCGACAGCGGCAGCGATCAGGTGCAGGCCGGCTCAGACTTTGGGAATGCTTATCCTCTCTCTCTCTCTCTCTCTATATATATATATATATAATGTTTTTGTGTGGGAAGAGGGGGGGGGGGGGGGTGGACTTTTTTGAGGTTGTTTGAAAGGGAAGCGAAAGGGAAACCAATATCCACTTCGGGGTTGCCCCGTTTTTGGACCCAGGATGGGAGCTTTTTTTTGTTCCGAACCCCCTTAATTTGAAGAGAATATGGGGAATCAGCCCTTCGAACTTGAGGCAAATGGCTCGGTCGCTCGGTCCTTACTGGGGGAAGTGGGATAGCCACTCTGTCTAGGAAGCGAAAACTGGGCAGGTCATTTTGGAACAACCACGGAATTGGTTGCCTGGAATTCCGAACGAGCCTACCAAGTCTTGGTGGCAAGCCTGGTGTCGACACTTGGCCACCTTTTCAGGGTCTTACTTACACATTTTGACGTCTCCGTGTCCGACAGCTGAGGCGCATGGGGCTGTCAAAACTACGGACCGTTTATATCCCCTGAGCAGCACAAGGCGGCGGCAGAACCAGCCACAATTTTTGACCTTCACATGGGTATTTCTGGAGATAGTGCTCCCATTGTTTGGTTTCCTTTTGGTTTCCCTTCAAACAAGAAACCAGGGGGGCAACATTTTGCTGCTGCTCAGTAGGGAATGACACAGGGTTTGGGAATCAACCTAGGGATTCCCTTACGGGAAAGCACAAGGGATTGGTTTTCGGGGTCATTCCATTCCTCATTCCTTGCTGGGTACCAGCAACAAAACACATTTTGAGACCCTCCCATCGGCTATTGACAACCCAGAGTCCCAACAAAATTCACCGAGAGACGACGCACAGGCACAGGCCTTCCCGGAGAAGGAGGTGGAAGCCAAGGAGGAGCATTGGGGAGGGAAAAAGGGGAGAGTTCGTGTTGAAAATGGACCCAAGAAATGATCTTCCATTTGCATATGTTTAATTTTCGCCGGTTGGTTTTCAATTAAATCTATCACCGGGGATTCCCCGAAACCAAGTATCCGTGCTCAGGGCAACCATCTTGACCCTAAGCCAAGGTTTGGCCCCTCGCAACGAGAGCCCAACAGGCAGCAATTTCCTTCCCAAACCTCCAAGAGTTTGCTGCACTTCCATTTGGACACCTGACAAGAGACAGGGGGGTCTCGGCACCCGAGGCATCGCCGACGCTTGATTTAGGGCAGATATGCAAAAACATGTTTTCCTTTCCAACTGGCAGTTTTGTGTTTGTTATTCCCGGCCAGGTTGCTTTGTTGCATTTTTTCTGACCAGTGTAAAGTCACTCGTCACTCTCTCCGTTTTTTTGTTGGCCCGATCTTTTTTTTGATTTTCCCTCCAACTTTTGTGTCCCTGGGCCGAATCGCTCCTCGGCCGCAGGTGCAGGAGCTGCTGCGGCGCTACGTGGCCAAGTTCGGCGAGTCGCGGGATGGGGAGGTCCAAGGCACGCGCTTCGAGCCGGCCAGATCTGACGGGCATGGATTCTAGCTGGAGGAGGTTGAGCCAAAAGTCCAAAAGGGGCAAACGTGCTCTGAACAAATCCGTTCGGATGACACACACGCATATGTATACATATATATATATGTATACATATGTGTATATATATATATATAGAGGTGAGGGGTGAAAAAAGCGTGCAAGCCTGGGTTGATTGTGCCGTGGATAGTCTGGTGTCTTAGGCTGCCACCTTCTGCGATACCCTTGGGGAATCCCCCGGAACCATGCAGTCTCATGCAATCTTTTTCGCGTGGTTTCACTTGGAAGTATAAATTTCCCTGACGAGAGTTGATTCCTACCCTGGTAGGAACCCCCAGGCCTTGTCTGAAGAGTGAGTTGATGGGCCCCGGTCCCCTGCCGCCGAGGTCTTCGGGCATGGTGTCTTGGAGTTTCCTTTCCTCAAAAACTTCACCCTTAGAAAGGTGGCTTGAAGTTTGAAGCATCGCTGGGCCAACTTGAAGTGCGTTTCCTTTGGTTTGCTGGGGAAATAGGGACGAACACTATCAACACCCGAAGAGTACATGAAGGAAAGTAGGGGGCAGCCCCTGCCAGAAATAGATGTGGATATCCTCTGACACGGTTTTGTTTAGACTCCTTTGCCATATTTGTCCTCATGTTTCCATTTCAGAAGGATCAGATATGCTTCATCGGGACTGAATTATTCGCTTGTGGGGGTGTTGCAAAATGGCCTCAGAAATGGCTTCAGGCTTGGTTTCCCTTTCAAGCAGCCCCCAACAAGGGTACCCTCAATGACCGCTCCGGAAATTGTTGGCCGAGTCGAGGGAGCGGGGACCCCATTTTGGGTCGGGATTTGGAGGTTGTGGCGGGTGTGTCCAACATGGCTGCGGTTTCCGATTAAAACCACCAAGCAAGGGGATACCCTGGAAAGAATATGTCACCCCCTGGTGAGGGAAGGTTTTTTGTCTCTTGTTTGTGTGTGGGTTTTCTCGCCGGGACAGAAACAACAGGTCTTTCATTCCATCCCAACTTCCCAACTGGTGCGTTTTGAGGAAGGCCGAGGTCCCCGGATCGGTGAACATGTCTCGAAAGTGCTGGGGACGCGTCGCAAAAAAGCCGAGGAGAGATGTTCTGTTGAGAAGTGGTCGAAATTCTTGGCCCTTGATTTCCTTGGCACGCCATGAACCAAACAGCACGGGCTCCAAAAAAACGTCGGGGGGGCGGGGGTCACAGGTTTGATCTCCGCGGCAGCGCAGGCTACAATCGCAGGGCCTTCCCTTGGTATAGCGGGGAGAGCTTCAATGAGAAGGGGGAGATTGACATCAGGGAGATTCAGGCGCCGGAAGTCCGTCTGGGTGTGTCTCTTCTACCCTTTTCGGTTGGTGATGATGCTGCAAGAAGTTTTTTTGCCCCATTTTTTGGCGCAGCTTATAAGCAACCCTACGAGGAGACCATTTTGATATTTGTTTCCCCGACAACCAACCCCGAGCCAAGACAAAACCGCACGAACCTTCCACCTCAGAAGACAACCCAATAGGACGGTTATTTTTTCCTCCCCCCTCCCCCAGGGATGGGGGGGGGGTTCCACGAAAAAACGGCACACCCTCATGGGCACCCCAGATCGTAGAACCCATCCGATGTTTGGGCGGGTGTCGGGCCCCGCAAAAGTGAAGGATTCCCAGTAAGACAAAGCACCCCCTACTGTGGATGGACGAAATCCTGCACCTCAGAAACCCTGGAATGATGATTCTCCTCTAAATACCAACAAACGGTGTTTCCCATGGCTTCAAAGTGGTGCAGGATTTCGTCCGTCCAGAGTATGAATCACCAGAACTTTATCGTTCGGCCTGAAGCCTGAAGCCTGAGCGCCGGGAGGTGATGGGCTTGACCCGGCCCGCCTATGGCCAGATTTTCCTTTTTAGTCTCCCTTTAAACTGGGGCAACTATTTCCCCGGTTTCTGGGGGTTATCAAAGTCAGACAATGGGGTTAGCGAAGGACACGTCACCGGCCCCTCATGGTTCAAATATGTCGCTATCACTCACTGGCCACATCCAAAGCTTAGGCCTGTGCGGCCTGGACCCTTTACCTTTCCAACGTGGGTTCCCACTTTGGGTTGACACAGCGGTCCACGTCAAGACTACCCAGTCTTGACTGGTGGCGGATTTTGGTATGGCGTCACCCATGACTCGCCCTGTGAGCCAGCATGGATGTTGGCGGGGTGAAACATCAGAGCGCGGGCTGTGAGGAGGGATTGTGCCTGTGTATGTATATATATATATCTCCACAAATTAAATAAGTAAATAATACATACATACATACATACATACATACATACATTCATTCATACATACATACATACATAAATAAATACACAAATCAATAAATAAATACATAAAAAACAATAAAAACAAACATATAAATAAATAAATAAATAAATAAATAAATAAATAAATAAATAAATAAATAAATAAATAAATAAATAGATAAATAAATAAATAAATAAATAAAACATACATTAAATAAATAAATAAATAAATAAATAAGTAAATAAATATATAAATGAATAAGTAAATAAATAAATAAATACATATATAAATACATATCAGAAATGGCAATGTTACCGACGATATGGGCATGAATTTTAATGTGAACCTACAAAGTGTTGGCGACCAGCAGTCCGCACCCGCATGATGTCCAACCGTTTCGGGTCCCAAATGAGAATTCATACCAATGAGTTGTATATATATATATATACACATGCAAATACACATATAGATATATATATATATATATACATATGGTACCCCCCCCAAAAAAGGCCCAGGTTTTGTGAGAAAACACTGGTATTTACAGTGCTTTGTCACCAGAACCTGCATCTGCCAGAACACACACTTTTCAGGCCCACTGTCTGCATCTGTCAAAAGCCTCTCATTTGGCAGCCAATGCTGCAACCAAGCACTATGATTGCCTAAGGGCATCTCTTCAAGGAAGCGCTTTGGAAACCGAAAAACATAAAACAAAATGCTGAAAACAACAAAAACAACTGAAAAAGAGCAAACCAAGGATTCAGGGGGACACGGGCCTCCCACAGGCATGTCCCCCTGCATGCTTTTCAGTTTTTTTTCCTCCTTCAGTTTTTTTTTCAGTTTTTTTTTCTTCAGTTTTCTCAGTTTTCCCCTAGTATTCACCTTTACTACTCCCCTAGTATTGTCTGAGTGTTCCCCTAGTATTGCCCTGGTGAAGTAGCCAGGAAACCTGAGAAGTCAGATAAATTGAGCTTGAGAGTATACCCCTCGTATTCCCTCAGCATTCCCGTAGCATTCCCCTAGTATGCTCCTTTAGTATTCCCCTAGTCTTCCTTGAGTATTTCCCTAGTATTGCCCTAGTATTCCTTTAGTATTCTCTTCATATGCCCCGAGTATTTCCTAGTAAGGGAAGGGGAATACTAGGGGAATACCTTCAGCATTGCCCCAGTATTCCTTAAATATTATCTTGGTATACCCCTAGTATTCCCTCAGAATTCCACTAGTATTCTCCTAGTGTTCACCTTTAATATTGCCCTAGTATTCCCTGAGTATTTCTTTAGTATTGCCCATGATTGCCCGAGTAGTCCCCTATTATTGCCCTAGTATTCAGTTAATTTAGTAGTCTCTTGGTATACCCCTAGTATATCCTCACTACACCCTAGTAAAGGGATGGAATTACTAGTGGAATACCTTTAGTATTGCCCTGGTATTCCTTAAGTATTCTCTTGGTATACCCCTAGTATTCTCTCAGTATTCTCCTAGAATTCTTCCAGTATTCGCCTTTAGTATTCCCCTAGTACTTCCATAGTAGTGCCCTAGCATTGTTGAGCTTGAGAGTATACCCCTAGTATTCCCTCGGTATTCCCACGTATTATCCTAGTATTCACCTTTAATATTGCCTTAGTATTCCCTGAGTATGTACCTAGTGTTGCCCTTGTATTCCCGTAGTATTGTTTTAGTATTCCTTTAGTATTCTCTTGGTATACCCCTGTGTTTCCTCACTACTTCCCTAGTGTTCCCCAAATATTTCACTAGTAAAGGAATGTACATATTAGGGGAACTCCTTCAGTATTATCTGACTAACTAGGCAGCTAAATAGATAACTATTTGATTAGCCAATTAACTAGCTAACTGGCTTCAGAGCTAATTCATTACAACTATTTAACTGACTATAGCTGACTTGCTGACTGTTTGTTTGACTAACTAATTGAACTTGCCAACATTTACTGCTTGAACTTGAAAAATGTGCGTTTCGCAGAGGCGAAAATACACATGTTTCTCAAAAGTATCATTTTTTCCAGTGATTTTGGCAATGGTCCAGGTTCAAAACCTGGGTTTTGGAGGGGGGGTAGCATATATTTATTTATATGTACATAGCCCACACCAAGTGACCAACTGGAGGTCGGTGGCCAGACGCGTGACTGGAACAAGGGTGGTTTGTCCCCAGATAGCTGTTTTGGGGGGTGACGGTGCGTGCGCATTTTTGCATCTTGACAGTAGGATGCAGCGGGGCATGCAGCTGAGGTGGTGGTTTGGGATTCTGTTTGGGGCTGTTTGGGCTGCTCTTCAGGGTGATGGTATCACGGCTGATTTGCTGGGGGGGGTTTCGGGGGGGGGGGGGGTGATTTGGAGGTGCTGGTGTGCAAGCACTGCTATTCGGGGTCTATGCTGGTGTAATGTTTGCATTCGCAAGCCCCAAAAAGGGTCCCAGAAGAATCCACCCCAGTTTATGAATAGGGTGGTGTTGCTGGGTTCCGTGGGGATTCAGACCATTCTTGGAGGGGAACACCCGCATATTAATAAACTGGAGTTGATGAATCTGGGGTCAACATTCCCCAGCCTCAAACAAACACCAATTCACATGGGGATTTCCCAAAAACTGCTTGCAGCCTCAAACATATTTCATCAACTTATTAAATATCATTCTTTAAAAATAAATAAATACATATAATATAAATCAGTTAAAGTCCGCAAGCTCGAAACCTCAGCAAGACCAAGAATCCGCCGAGCGACCTCAAACCCTCGCACCCACGTCGCTCGTCTGCGACCCGGTCTAGGCAGTGCTGAGCAAGCCTAAGACGGAGAAGCGTCAGGCCGGGTCAATGTTTCCTTTCCGCGCGCGAAGGGAAGACGCCGGGGAAGAGTCAACAATTCATTTTGTCGAACAAAATGCGGGAGTTGGTTCCAATAATCAAAATTGCGCTGCTGCAAATAGCATTTAGATCTTTTGTTTCACGCACTGTAAAAACACTTACCAAAACTGCAAAGCTGTTGATACTTTTGGCCGTGGTACATGGGCCACTCAATTAACCCGGCCCCTTACGCTTTCCCTTCGCTTTAACCTACCACCTGGGGGGGCGACTTTGCGCATCCTCCCGGTTTCAAAGCAAAACCACGCAAGACTGGTAGCCGCCTCTAGGGGCGAGACTCAACGGGTTGACACTCTTGGTCGCGGGGTCCGGATTTCATTGCCCGCGATGGACAAATTCTGTGGACGGTTGCGAGATCCGTTTCGCACCTAAGAACCACGGGAATGCTTCCCCAACGTAAATACCAAGAAACCATGGGTTTCCCTTGGTTCAAAGTGGTGCCTAAGCGGACTTCACTCCACCCAAAGTACAGAGGGAATGTTCGGGTTGCCAGATAGGAACCCTTTGGGCCAAGTTTTCTCAGGTTCAGGTTCAGGAGTCTCAGGAGAGGACATTTCTGGGAGGTGATGCACCGGAATTTTCTTATGGGCGTGGGAATTGGGCGATGCAATACCTGAAACACCCCCCGTTCTATTTATTTCATGCCCTGAAAGTACATGTCTGTTTGAGGGGAATCTGACAAAGATCAGTGGCTGAGTACTCAGTGAGATGAGTTCTTGATCGAGCCCGGATCAACTGCCTTCGGATGTTACAGGGAAGATGCGCTCGATTTCCGTCATATTTGAGTCAACCCAGATTCAATTTTCCCACAGTTCGGGATTGTTTCAGTAATCTGGGAACCGCACACAATGGCTTTCGGCTTTCCTTTTGGTTTCCCTCTTGAAGCCACACAAAAACAGGGTGCCCTCAAAAAAGAGACCCACTCATATCTCAAATTCACAGAACTTGGCAGGACGCCCTTTAAGAACTTCCCATTTTGAATCGGCTCAGAGTCGCGTCTAGGGCTTTCGAAGCCTGGAGAGACTTCGCCGAGTTTCCCGTCTGGTTTTGACCTTTTGCGAGGAAGAGCAATCCAGTCGAGTGCCTCACAGGGCTGAAGGATGGGGCATTGGTTCAAAGTAAGTTCTTCAGATGGTGGTGCTTTCCGTTGTGCTGTGCAGAACATCGGAAAGTCGGGATCCGGGACTGGGTATGACTTGGCAGCGCTTCGGGCGGACGTCATGAGTCCACCCTGCTTTTTTGCTGGTGTTAAAGGAAAATCACAAGGACAACCACACCATTTTTTTTTGTGGGGGGGTTGCCCTAAAAGAGGACACACCCACTTGCCAACGTCCAAAGCGCAAGCCAAAAACCTCGACCAAAAACGCCGCACATCGAGGCCAAGCTTTGGGACGTGGACTCCGAGGGCGAGCAGGTCACCTTGTGCGTCGGGGGCCCCAAAGGACTTGGCTCGAAGCGCCCGACGGCCTTCGGGCTCGTGTTTTGCTGCGTTGGAGGGGGACTTGGCCTTTTTAGCACCGAAAGGACAACTGGCCCACTTTTGACACGTGACTGGGGGTTGGTTTTCCGGAAAGATCCCTAAATCTCGGCAAATCCACTTTGTCTGGCCAATTTCGTAAGACATTTTTCACAGCCGAGCAAATTTGGTGGCTTCAAGGGCAACCACCGCGCCCCAAACCCACATTGTCCCAGTTTCAACGGGTTCTGATTTTGGTGTGAGCGGGTTTCCCTCTAGAAGGGGCCGCGCATGCTGAATCGGTGGCAAATTCTCTCAAGAGAGTTCCTTTTGGCGTTTTGCTTTTCGGTGCGATCGAGGCCCTGGTTCAAAAAAACAGAAGGGCTTCGGGGAGACCGTTTTTCTTAAAAGCATCACGGAACCAAGCATTTGGGTGTGTCATGGTGTGTCTGCTTTTCAGGGTACCCTTTTTTGGTGGTTTCAAAGGACAACCACAGTTTTGGGGAGTCCCCCAGAGAAAGACTCCTATATTCTATGCGACATGTGCTACTCAAAGGCCGCCGTCTCGGTTGGATGTTTTCACCTCACTTGGATACGAAAGGGGAAACTGCACCTCGGATGGTGTTTTGAAGGGAACCCAAAGCCACTCACTCGGGGTATGTGAATGGCGATCCAAGCCAAGGGCATTGATCCAACGGGGGCTTGCTGTGAGGGAAACACAAGCGCCCAAAACCTGTATTCTATGGACGACTTGAGCAGCTGGTTCTAGTGCAAATATATGCCTTTGCAAACATGTTGTCAAAACCAGCAGTGAATGGGCAAGTGGAACTGCAGGGATTCCTAAATGAGGAAAATCTTTCCAGCGGGTAGTGGGCAGCCTTACGTTCTGTTGGCCTCGCGCCCCTCCGAGGGGATTTGTTCCCCCGTGGACAAATCCTCTCCCCCCCCCCCCCTGGCCCCGGCATGTGGCATTGGTAAGCATTGGGCAGTGACAGAGACATGCTTTTTGAGTAGAACTGCAGAAGGGACCCAAATGGCGGACGTACCACCCCTCGCGCGGATCTGCCGCATTCTCAGAGTTTCCAGTACGTACAACTCTCATCATGACCTTGGAATGTTTTGAGATTCTTGCTCAAAACGGAAGCAGAGGGTTCTGTTCGAAGCCGTAGCTTTTGTTCGCCGAGCGCGCGCAAGCGCGCAAGCGCTCCGACAATCGAAGTCCATCTTGAATTTGATAAGCTCCGCTTTTCCAGGTCAATTTCTCCAGGAAGTTTGCCAAAGCCTGGTATTTGATGAATGATATTTGGGAGGGAGTGTGTTTTGTTGGGAGTTTGATGGAAGTATTCATCCCAAGTTTGTCATCACCTACCAGTAAGATGACTTCACCAGGAATAATGCGGACGTGAAGGATTCAAGTGCCTGGCTGGAAGAGTGCCCAGAACAAGACTCGGAAAACTGGGGTCCCCGTGGTCCCAATATTATAATATGCTAGATCCCTCTTTGGGAGGGGTTGTTCACATCGGAACAAAGACACGCGCCACTCACCTTTTCCCTGTCTTTGGGCAGGTGGCCCAGGTGTTCTTTTTCCTGAAGTTTGGAGCTTGGAATGCGGATGGACAGCTCATGGAACCATGGAACCCTTTGGATTGGTTTGGATGTGGATATGGATCAGGGGTTTCCTGGTTCTACATGGGAAGCTGCCCTGAAAACATTGGTTGTCCTGTTGGCTTCCCCTTAAAGCCACAAAACGGGGCGCCCTTCAAAAGAAGAGACACCCAAGAAAAGATATGCTACCCTGAACACCCCCGGGCTCCACCGGGCTCCACCGGGCTCACCACGAATTCGGAAGCTGGCTGAAGGCGCACTGCCTCCTGCCAGTGGGCGAGGCCGGGAAGCAAGGTGAAGGTTGCTGTCAAAAGGCTCCCACTGGGTTTGGCTCCTCAAAATTGGGATGGCTTTTCCCTCTTGGTTTCCTTTAAACACCATTCTAAAAAGGGTACCCTCCGGAAAGCACCGCGTTTTTGAACGCGTGTCTCGGCGCGTTTTGAAACGCGAGCAAGTTCTCGTTTTTTGAACGCGCTTTTGTTCAAGTGGGCGTGAGCCAAAAGACCCGAGCGCTTTTCTCTCTTGTTTTTTTTCTCTTCTTTTTTTGTTTCTCTCTCTCTCTCTCTCTCGCTTTTCTCTTTCCCCGTATGTTCCCTCGTCCTCTCTCCCTCTTGCTCTCCCTCTCTCTCCTCCCCCAATCCTCTCTCTCTCTCTCTCTCTCTCTCTCTCTCTCTCTCTCTCTCTCTCCCTCCACTCTATGTCTCTATCTTTCTCTACCTCCTCACTATGCCTTGCGGAGGAAACATTTTGGCGCTTGTAGGACACCACCTTCTCCGGTGCTAGCAGATGACGCTTTCACCTTTCAGCAATCTTGTGAGAATCTTCGCATTCAGCTATGCATCAAGGACTTCCAGTATAGTAGGATCCGTCAGACATCAGGTTCTGTTCTGAGATATATCAAAGACTGCTCAAAAAGCGGGTTCTTCTAAATCAGGGGGCAGCCCCCAAGTTGGCATGTGCTATCATCCTTGAGCCCATCCCCCCCCATCCCGCCCCCATCCACCCCCCATCCCCCCCCCAACCCCCCACAAGCCCCCCCCCCCCCCATGTGTTCGAAAATGAGCCGTGGATGTCTTCGAAAATGATCCTGGTGCATGTGTTCGAAAGTGAGCCGAAATCGGTGTTCGAAAAGGATACCCCCCCCCCCCTCAAACTAAGACCCCCACCTCTCCTCAGAACCCCCAATGTCCGTTCTTGAGGGGAGTATTTTCAGTCTGTAAATTGTGTAGAGAATCCAGACGGGAAGTGCTCAAAACTCCAGCCATTCCAGGAAGTTGCTTTTTGTGAAGCATCCCTTGTAGAATCAACCTCCTTTCGGTTCCCCCTAATGTGGCCAGGGGGTTGCTTCCAGATTTTCCAACGCCTCTGTACTGGACTGGCCTATGCAGCTTCCATATGGAGAGAGGCCAGATTTTCCGTGTAGTTTGAAAGTTTTCCTTGGGTGGCCACGCTTTCGAGTTTCTGTGGAGATGTTGGGAAAAAGAGAGGAACTTGTTTCCAGAAGGAGCCGGAATGCTTCCTCTCCCTATAGGGAGTCTTGCAAGGATGACGAAAAGGTTGGATACAGTGAAATGGAGCCTTTTCAGTCGGTTTTGGGAGCAAAAACGGGAAGCTCCGCATTTTGAAAGGCCCACACCCAGGTTTTGCAAGGTGAGTGGTTGACTGCATACAAATACAAGCGGCTTGTCTCAAAATCATGAAGCCTCTCTTGAATGGCTGAAAGAAAGCTATCCACAGCCATGACCATTTTGGGTAACCCTCAGATTGGTCTGGATTGGATTTGGGATTCGAAGATTTGAGCAGCTCCTTTTGTACACCGGATGACGATCCGAACACGTGCAAGCCAGTAAAAGGCCGCACAAGACTTGCCTTTGGCCCCCTTCTGGTGGTTCCACTGCCTGGCTCGAGGTCTCCTACTCAGGGGCGCACGGCAAAGCCGCTTGGTATTTGGTTGCGCTGGGATTTGTCGTTGCGCCGAGCCTTGCGTTTAAGTATTCTGGTTCCCTGGGTCGCATCAGGGGTCTTAGTCTGTCTTTTCTTGTTTTGGGTGAGCGAGTCAACATTGACTTCGGATTCATCCGGAGGACCATACGGAACAAGGGGTGGTTCTCTCCCTTTTGGTAATGACATTATATTTGCTTTCGGGGGTTTCCTTTGACTAGGGTCCTCCGGATGAATCCGCAACTAATTACCTTTCACTTCGACGGGACTGGCGCAAACGAGGCTTCCAGACGTTGCTTTGTGTCTAGTCAGGGGCCCGGGTCCGTCCATTTCCCTTTTGTGGCGGTTTGCGTGGACTCCGCTGGTCAAAGGCGGGAATTCCGGGGATGTCAACACGAGTCCCAAATACAAATGCCGGGGGGGCAAACTGTTAAAACCCTCCTGGCCCCGTGCCTAAATTGGGAAGCCGTTCTGAGGTCCATGTTCTTGTTGGTTGAAGTGTTCCATTGGATGCCACATTTGGCTCAAGATACAAGTAGGGCTTAAGGTCTTGCATGAACTTACGTTCGCCTGTGATCGATCTGTGTGAGAGAAAACAGGTTCAATCGCGCTGCTGATATCGGACGTGTGTGTGTGGTTATTGGACAACACCCTTACAACAGTTTGCGCTGGTTTGGCTGTATCGGTTTGGCCGTATATCCTTTCTACGTGGTTGAGTACACTCAGCTGGAAGCTTGGTGGACAGCGTCGCACAGGACGTCATCTTGCGCTCTTGACAGGTTATCAGCCGTGCAACAAGCTCTACACTGGTCAGAGAGACAGCTGGTTTCTTGCGGGTACAGGAACTACAGAAGAACAATAACCTACACAGTACAATGGAATCTTCAGCGAGCCCAAGTACTGCAACTTTTGGGAACGACAGTTCAGAGGGATCCAATGGATTGATGGCTCTTCCTGCGGTCATGGATATGGTTGCTGATTCACAGGATGAACCTGGAAGCGGTGGATCCGCACTATTCAGCGACATATCCACGCCCGCAAGATCATGGAAACAGGTCGCTATTCGTCAGGAGTCGAGACAGAGAGATTCTCCACCGAGGAGATCATCATCTTCGCCGGGCGTCGCAGAAGAGCGTGAGGTCATCATCGAAGGGTGGGAGATCCAAATCGCCCACGAGTGCCGAGTTTCGCACCATCATCAAGGAGAAGAACAAGATGGAGTCGGAGATCGGGGAGTATCAGAAGACACTTGATGAAATGTCGGCGGCAATGGCAAATCCTCATCAAGAAGACTATGGAAGCACCATCCGATCCAGGAACTGGAGAGACGATGCGAGATTGCCAGCAAGCAATCGGGGCATCTTGTGAGTCATCACCAACACCATATGGCAGAAGCCTGGCGTAAGTTTGAGGCGGAAGCCCAACAGATGCGCGAGGCGGAAATGAACGCATATCAATACGGGGAAAAGAAAGACATGGAGTCGAACGCTATGATGCAGCAAATGCGACAAGCTGAGGGAATGATCATGGAGCAGAAACGGGAGATTGCAGTGATGAGATCCTACATGGCAAGCGAGAAGGCGGCCGCACAGGAATCAGCGACACAAGCAAATCAAATTCACCGTGAAGCTTCAAAGCAGATTTCCGTTTATCAACAGCAGATCAGGGGGATTGAATCGTCTACATCCATCGAGAAGTTCAACGAGGAGGAGATGGTTCAAAGCCTGAAGTCACAGTTGGAACATGCACTGGTCAAGCGCCCCGAAGTATACTCTATGGAGGACACCAGGGAGCAGCTAATGACAAGACTGAATGACGTGACGGCATTCGCAGAACAAGAATCGAAGAGCAGAGTGCCTCCTGCGAGAGAAGGAAGAGATCGTCAAACGGTACGAACCCGACGTGTCAAAGAAAGATCAGATGATTGCCATAGAGGGTGGTCATCGTCAGGATGCAATCATGGAATTAGCCCAGATCAGGGAAGCAACACAAGAAGAACGGTGCACGATGGACGAGAAGTCGAAAGAGGCTGAATTCTGGAAGTCGACGGCTAAGGGGATGTATAATGAGTATCTCGAGGAGATGAGCAAGCTTCAAGAACAACTGAAGAATCGGGAGGCGATGCTCAAGCGAGGAGAGAGCTTTGTTTGTCAGCTCGATGCGGATAACGAGGAACTCAGAACATCCCAGAAGCTGGAGATACAGGAGGCCTCGAGCAAGTTGGTGATCCAATGATCGATGTACACCTATCACAGATGCAAGGGGTTGTCGGGCTAGTCCCACAACCTACTACAACTGGTGGTGGTGGTAATGGAGGGGGAAACAATGACAATACACCTGCATTGGATTACAACGGATTCTCGTTCGGCGGAAACCAACAGGGACCAGGTCAACGTCACTTGAGTCTGGCAGGTGGTGGAGGAGGACCTCCGGATGTGCCACCCGATGATGAGGATGAGGATGACGATGACGACGAGGATGAGGAAGACGAGGAAGAGGAAGATGACAACCGGACACGGAGGGGACGCAGACGATTGAGGGATGATCGTGAGATCAAGAACGAGAGGCCGAGGATATCAAGGAAGGAGGCCGAGAGGGTATCCATTCCCAATTGGCCAAAGATCCATCAACTCGATAACTGGGAAGATGCAATTGCTGATGAATGTGCTGAGCGCATGCGCAGATCCGGATACCGATGCGTGGACAAGATGGTTGGCTCAGGCTCTCGGGTTAAACCCAGACCTCAATGCGCTGAATGACTCCGGCGGCGACAGGTTTGCTACGATTGACATCAAGATGGCTATGGGCATGCAGAACATGCTGAGACAAGCGCCAGACGAGGCCAAGGACGTATACCTCGATGCTACACGACATTCGGAACTACGACATCAACAAGGGGTGATCGTAAAGGGGCGAGAACTAGTGGCATTGGTCATGCAATCATTCAGAACATCTGATCGAACGGACCTTGTCCGTCACATCGAGCACTTATTCAACCTCGACTTTCCTGGAGACAAGAACTTGGTTGTGTTCAGGAACAAGTGGTATGACTTGCTGCTGAAAATGAGGAGCGAAGATAGACCCAGCCCACTGGCACTAAGAGATATCCTATACAGGAAGATCAAAGGGAGCAAGAAGATGGAGTTTGGCCTCAACGCCTACCATAGGTTGCCGGACAAACATCCTCAGAAGTCGTACGAATTCCTGTTGGCATTAATTGACCACCAAATCAAGTCGGATCGGGAGGACCTGATGCTTGACATGAAGGAGAAGTCAGTCAAAACAATGATGAAGTCAGGCGGCAAGGATGCAGCCCCGGCTGCCGGAAAGCAGGAGGGCCAGAGTGGCAAAGGCAAGAAGGACAAGTCCAAGGGACCTGATGCCGCTCCTGTGCTCCCAAAGGCCAAGGCAAAGGGTCACGCTGGCAAGAACGGCAAGTCCGATGGTGCCAACGACAGGGGAACCCATGCTGGTATCGGTACCACTTCAAAGCGGAGAAAGGATGCTTGAAGGGAAATGAATGCCCATTTTCTCACAGCAAGAAGACGGAGCACAAGCTGGAGAACATGCCCAAAGGAAAGGGGAAAGGAAAAGCCAAATCCAGATCTTCCTCACCAAAGAAGGAGGATGGGGTGTGCTACGCATTCCAGAAGGGAAAGTGCGAGAATGGCAGTGCCTGCAAATACAGGCATGAGCTCATCAAGAAGAATAACTCAGCTCCGGCAACGTCAGGGGACAAGACACAACCCAAGTCGAAGGCTGCCCCCAAGGCCGCAGCACCAGCGATTGTGAGAAGGGCCATCGCCATGCTTGCGATAGTTTTAAAGCAATCGGTCCCTGCGGGAAAGGTCAGCTTCAAGAAAGACGTTGATCATGTTGAACCGGATGAAGCCGAAACTGTCTATCACGAGCGTGATGACGATGTTATGAGCGAATCGTCAAGATGGTCCGGCGAATCCGAGATCCCCGAGAAGATGGTATGGTTCAAGGAGGTACTCGACGTCGACGAGAATGGGGAGATCACCTATCTTGAAGACGAGAGTAAGCAATGGGAACGAAAGGGAGAGTGGTATGGCTATGAGGGCAATGAGGATGGTTCTTATAAGTACGTGCGTATTGACGAGAAGAAGTTCAAGGACAGCGATCATCGAGAATTATCAGCCTATCAAGTCCAACGATCATTCATAAGAGCAAGGATACTGGAAGAGGTGGTGGACGATGTATATAGAAAACACTACTTTCCGGTGACCAAAGAGAACACTATCGTGTTTGAGTACGATCGGGTTGAGGACGAGATCAAGGAAGCGGTCATAGACTGGAAGAAGCAACATGGTCTGCCAAAGAACGTGCTCGGAATGTCAACATGTCTCAGCAGAAGGGCGAAATAGTTGATGGATACTGGATGCGGACATGACCTCATCGGACGAGCCAAGGCGAAGAGTCTGGGCGCTGATATCGTACAAGGAGATGATGAGATCGTGTTCCAGACGGCAAATGGATCCACATCCACATCCGACGACGAGTTGGATGAGACCGTCAAGCCACATGTGTTGGACGAAACGCCCACGGTATTGTTGATAGGGAGAAGATGCATGAAGATGGGGTACGCTTTTCACTGGATGCCTGGTAAGCTACCTTTCATGGTTACACCAAAGCAAGCAATTATTCGCACATTTACGAGGGTTTTCGTGAAACGACAACTTTGTATTTTTAAGGGTGACAGCGAACATGGTGAGCGGGCCGAGCAACTTAGCATGCTCGTCCTTCACGATGCTGCCCGTTTGCCATCCCATATGGGGCGAGTGTCTTAGGGTCATGTGCCCCCTCTTTTAAACGGCCTGTGTGCTGGAACCGTTTGGCTCATGTTAAGAAACAGGCAAGGTTTTTAACATGCTTGAGCGCAACCAATTTGAAACCTTACCTCAGGTTTCTCACCTGTACACGGTTGCGTTCGTGTGAGAGAGTTGCGTATTGCATCTCGGCTCAGGGATGGG